CCATCTGTGAAATGGTCATCCTCACCCCTGCCCTACACTCTGGTCAGAAAACCCTTTGGAACTAGGATGTCCTCTGCGGCCAAGAGAGGAAGCTGGCCACCGCCTCCCCAGTGCTGATGTGGGAGTTGGGTGTCCTACCCTCCACACACAGCCTGAGAGCCACTCCCAGTTTTGATGATCTGCAATTTTGTTTTTGTCTTAAGTTTAAAGGGTTTAAACCTCACCTTTGCACTTGACTGACCCCTTTCCATGAACTGGCCCAGGGCTATGTGCTCTTGATCTTTGAACTCACGCAGCTTACAAAGAGAACCATTCAAACCCAGGCAGTGAAAACCTTGTAAAAATCCCTGGCGCTTTGGTTAGTTCTGGCTTAGCCATGGTGACTGAGCTGGGCGCAGCATATACGGTGCCAGGACGCCACACCATACACACCCTGCCGCCCTTTTCCTCCTCTGGGGTATCCCGGAGGTCGGGGAGAGAGCCAAGGGCGGGGCGCAGAAGTCAGCGGGTTGATAACCAGGGAGAGCAAAGACGCCTGGAGGTTGTGTGCGCTGTCCGCGGTGCTGACCGCGCGGGAGCAGGCTTAGTCCTGGGCGGAACAGGGCGGTGGCGCTGTCGGTGGTACTGACGTGCAACGGCGCTGTCCATGGATCCGAAGGTGCCCGTGGTGCTGAGGTTGTGCAGTGGGCAAACGCAGCCAGCTGCCCATATTTCCTCTCTTCTCTGGTGTTCTGAGGGTGGGGTACCCTTGCTCGAGAAGTCAGGAGACCTCAGGAGAGGCGTATCTTAAAAGATGAGTAAAGAAGCCGAAAATCGGAAAGTTCACGTCTTGTTTTCCAAACTCTGGATGAGCAAAAGGGTTCACCATGGAGTGGAGCCGGTGGAGAGGCAGAGGAAGGAGAGTAGAAGCCTTCTGTTCTCCATCTCTGCCTCTACCTCCTGCATCCTTCCCAAAGGTGTGAAGGAGGATGGCCCAGGCAGAGAAAGCACCATGTCATCAGCAGGACCCAGTATGAACTCAAGGAGTCAGAACACTAACTTGTAGATGGGGGTAATAATCTCTTCCATGCATATTTCATGGCGATGTTGGGGGGTGCTGGACAGTCTGGGATGGGGTGTGCTTTGCATGAAGCCAACATTATACAAAGTGGGGGTTATCCATCCATGTGCCCTGTAGACCCCAGAACATTGCTGCCCCTCCATTCTGTCCAATAAAGCTCTCCAGGTGCAAGAGAAGGGAGGCCCCTACCCCTATGTACAATGAAGGCTGTGATAGTGTTGTCATTCAACTCACAAGGGGAAGGTATAGGGACCTTAAAGATCACATAGAATCCGGCCTCCATAATTGACAGAAGAAGACATGGAGGAGGGAGTTCATAAACACATGATAAGTTAGTGGCAGTAGAGGAATGCATCTTCTGCTCTTGTACACCCCAAACTTCCAAAAACTCTGATGTGGGGAGAGGAAATGGCCATGGATTGAAAGGGCTGGATGCTTCACTTTCCCCAATCCCTCTCCCTCAAAAACCTCCCCTTCCTCTTCCTCCCTTTCCTCTTCTGCATAATCTCAGCCCTCACCCACTACTTTTCCCTGCGTCACTTCACCACCAGTCCCTCTCCCAGATTTCTTCACTTGTTCCATGTTGCTTCCTGCTTTGGTGCAGCCCCTCCCCCAGCCTCCCAGTGACCCCATCTGGTCCTCCTGATGTGCAGTGAGTGGAGGCTTAGCAATGAAGTGGTGTCTCCTGTCCACCATGTAGGCAGAGGCATCCCTATCTCAGGCACTGATTTCACCTGTCAGTGCCCACCTGGGGCCCCGCAAGTGAAGCTGGTGGTTTGGAGATAACCTGATATGGCAGATGGGCAAAGATTGCACAAATGAGGGTCTAATTGACAATCAATTGTGATTAGGAGCGAAAGGATGTCTTTATAGCCCTGGAAGCTCTGAGTTGAAGTTGGGGGGAGGGGAGGGTTGTTCCCGGGTATCTGAGAGAGTAGGACGGGGGCTGTGCAATGCCATGACTTACTTGGGTTGTTTTTTAGACGTGGGGGAGGCATGGGGTAGGAGCAGATGTCGTGATCTCCCTGACCCTTGTCCTCATATAGCACCCCCTCTTTTCATGGGAACATGACCCAAGGTCCTCTATGTAGCACTGGAGGCCTCCCCTCATACCCCATTGCCCTGCCCCTATTCCCCTGGGTCAGAATCTGCAGCTCATTACTCTGATGGCTGCAGCTCCCATTAGAGAGTTCACAGGGAAGAGAGGGGAGAGGAGAGCCAAGGAGGAGAATATTGGTGACTCCAAACTCCAGGACAGTCACAGCACTTTTTGTCCAAGTAACACTAAGCCCTGAACCAATCCCCACCTCTTAGCAGGGAGCACAGCCTGCTGTGCTGAGTGTGTGAATATATGGTTGTATATTACAATATGTTATTTCATTATGCTTAGTATGTATCATATTTAATATACTGTATTCTGTTTACTATGCTTTAGTACTATTTACCATACATTACACTATATTGACATTATATAAAACATCATTTTATGTGGGTTTATGTTGAATGAAAGTTATATCAAGAGGCGTCCCATTTCTCTTCCTCACCTGCAGGTGTCTGGTGTGTAAAACGGGGGTGAAAGCAGACCCACACCCTGCCCCTGCCCACCTAGCAGGGTGTGGGGGTAGTGACTACCATGTTTGTGCCTCCCCTGGTGACCTATGGTAGATAGGGAGAGACTGTGTGTGGCATGGAGTGTGAGCACGCACAGGAGGAGGTAGTGATGCTCTAGGTCACACTGAAACTCAACCACACAGAGCCAAGTCAAAGGTCTGCACTGGAGATCTGCCCTAGCGCACCTCATCCTGTGCCTCAGAGGGCAGAGTGGCAGCTCAGGGACTCTGCAGGTAGGGGCCCTGTGTGCCATCCTCCTGGAAAGACTTAAAGAGAGGACTGAGACCAGCGCAAAGCTGGCGGGTGCAGGTGAGGCTGGCTGCAGGGCACTGAGAGCCTCTGTGGCTCCTGCACCTCAGACCAGCTAGGTGCTCCTGAATGAATCTGGGATTGTATGTGGCGCATCCTGCTGAATGAGTGTATGTGTATGTGTGTGTGTGTGTGTGTGTGTGTGAATGGGGTGTGCACATCTATATTCAAACTTAGCTGGGGGAGGGGTAGAGAGAGCCTAAGAGTCCCGCCAGGAAGGTGGGGGAGGGAAGGAGATAATTACCTCCCTGTGATGAGAGATTATCCACCCTCCTTCCCCCAGAGGTGATTTATAATTTAAAGATAAAGAATAATCAAGTCCTGGCAAGGAAGGACACAGTGTTGTGGGTCTGATTAGAATCTCAGGATGGACCAGCATGCGGGGGAGGGGATGGGCTGGGAGACGGGAGGCCTTGCCTCCTCGCCCCCCACCCCCAGTCCCAGCCTCCCTGAGGCTCAGCATGTCCGAGCTTGGCCCAAATTACAGCCGATTGGTCCCCCATTATTTCTCCCAACTTTTAATTTCTGCTTCCAAAGGATCATTGCCCGCGGTAATTGCAAAGGACCCGTCCTTGTGTGCGGAGCAGGCTCCGGGGACCGCAGTGAGAGGTGGCGCGCACACCGCTCGTGCACACGCCCGCGCGCACACTCGCGCCCATCGCAAACAGCCTCACACCCTGAAGACCCTCGCACGCGCGCTCCCACCGCCGGTTCCCACCTGGGTCCCACCAGCGGCCCAAGCGCTCGCCGGCTCTGCTGTGGGAAGGGGGAAGGGCGCTGCCCAGGAGCAGCGGTGGTCTTACCCTCGGACGCCGGACGCTGGCCGGTCCTTCCGAGGGCCGCAGGGCCCTGTGGTGCGAACATCGCTTCTGTGGAGAAATATGTGCAAATAAAGACCCGGACCGAGGGCCTTCTTCTTTCTCCGGGCGTGGGGCTGGAAGAGTTTGCCGTAATGTGTCCCCTTACTTGCATATCGATTTTTATGTAGGCCGCCTGCTGTATGTAGGATTCTTCGGTCCCCATTTTGGGGGGCGGGGGTGGGAGGGCCGTCCAGCCTCCCTCACTTTCGATCTTACTTCTAATGAGCGACCCAGGGGCCGCCGGCCCCGCCCCTCGCGGGGACACAAGGCCGGGCCCTAGTTTGACGACGCGAAAGGGGCGGGAGCGGGAGGGGCTGGAGGGACGGCGACCCGGAGCCGCGAGAAGAGACCCCGGCAGGAGCGACCGGGAGAGGCGGGACCGATGTCCACGGAACCCGTGGGAGGGGGCTGAAGAAGCGAGGAAGACATCCCGAGTCTGTCCCCAGGACCCACCCCGCCCCAGACGCTGAGGGACGCCGGAGCCTTGGGGACCGCCGGAGTGGCAGGACCGCGCGCCCTGAGCCCGCAGAGAAGCCGCCTGGGCGCCGCGTCCCGCGCCGGGATGTCCCAGCCAAGTCTTAGCGCTCGCCCGCCCGTGCGCCCCGGGGCCTCCGCGGCCCCTCCACCGATTGATCCCGCAATTATTTAAAAGCCACCGCTGTCTCCTCCCCTTTGCCCAGGAGGCAGGCGCACAGTTTCTGGACGAGCGGAGGCGCAGCGACGCGCCGCTGACCGCGACAGCCGCTCGCGGCCCGCACCCGGGCTCCGGGCGGCGCGTCTGTCGGTCGGGCCCGGGGCTCCGTCCGTGCGTCCCGCGCGGGGCCCGCCTCCTCCGCCCGGGACCGTTCGCAGCCAATTAGGCGCGCGCGCTAACGAGGGCGGCGGAGCCCCGCGGCCGCCTGCGGGCGCACGTGTGTGCGGCGTGTGGGCGCGTGGGCGCCGCCGGCGGGGCCGCCATAAATGCGCGGTCCGGGCGCGGCGGGCGCCTGAGGCGGCGGCGGAGGCAGCGCCGGGCAGCAGCGGCGGAGCGCGGGGCGCCGTGCCGAGAGCCAGGCGAGCCGCGGCCGCCGGCGCGAGACCGTGCGGCGGCGCCAGGGCCGCCAGGGATGGGAGCCCAGTAGCCGGCGGGGCCCGAGCGGCCGGAGCGGCGGGAGGCCGGCATGAGCGCGAGCGGCCCGGCGGCTCCCGGGGACGGCCCGGCGCTGCCGCCGCCGCCGCCCGGGCCCGGCCCGGGGCCCGCACCGCCCACGCCCGCCGCGCCACCGCCCGGGACGCCATGGACGGGCGCGCCGAGCTGCCCGCCTTCCCCCGGGCCGGACCCCCGCCGCTCGCCGCCAGCGACACGGTGCCCGCGGCGCCCGAAGGGGCCGGGGCGGTTCGCCCTGGCCCGCCGCCGCGCCCCACCTCCTTCTCGGTGCTGGACATTCTGGACCCCCACAAGTTCAATAGCAGAAGACGCCGCTGTGTGCTTCTGGGCCCCGTGGCGCCCTCCGCATGCTCCCCGTGCGCCTCGGCCCCGTGCGCTCCGGCCCCGTGCGCCCCGGCCCCCGCCGCCCCGGGACGCCCGCCGCGCGCGGAGGAGCTGGAGCGCCGCGCCCTCGCCGCCGCCGGAGGAGCTGGAGCCGCCACCGGAGCTGAGCCGCCGCGTGAGTAGGACGCGGCCCGCTCCGGTAGCGGGAGCCGGGGGACGGGCCGCATCTTTACGTTTACTCTCCCGGGCCCCTCGGTCAGCCGGGCCAGCCGGGCCAGCGGTGTGCCAAGGCTCAGTGCAAAGTTCGCAGCGCGCGGGGCTCCGTCCGACCCGGACTCCGGGGCCGGGGCCGCCCCGCGCCTCCCGGGATGGCTCCCCCGAGCCGGTCCCAGGGCCGGTCCCAGGGCTGCGGGGCTGCAGGGACGGCCTTGGAAGGTAGCTGGTGCCAGAGGAGGAGGGGACCTGCGAGGCGGAGGGCTCGTGACCTCCCCGGCCCCACCGCGGCCGCCGGAGGCCTCCCTCCCCATTTCCTCCTCCTCCTCCTTCTCTCTCTCTCTCTCTCTCTTTTTTTTTTTTTTTTTTGGACAAATCAGACTAATTGTGACAAAACGCTGGTTATCTCTGGAAAAACAATTAAATCCCTTCGATTACAGTTAAGGGGAAATGTGCTTAGCGGCGGAAAGCGGCCGGTAATGGGGCGGCCCGCGCCCCCGGCCGGGTCGATATCCCATTACGGCAGCATGCATATCTCTTTCAAGCACCTTGCAAACTCCCCCCGAACATCTAAATTATAGGGTCAAAATTCGGATAATTACTCGATTAAAACCTATTACACTTATTAGGGGCCGCTATTGATCGAGAATTGCATTCGACCGGCTCCTGATTGCTTTTGGTGCCCCCTCCTCCGGCCCTTCCTCCCTCCAACGTCCCAGCCCCTCCGCTGAGCAGGGACGGGAGTGCAGGGTGGACAGGGCTGGGGTCGCTGTCTTGGGGCATAGGGCCCTCCGGGTACATGGGCTGGTGGGTTCCATGTGGGGTGGAGATGAAGGAGGAGCAAGCCCAGCCTGGCTGGAGGGGAACCTATCGGGCTATTGGCCTAGCCAGGGTTCTGGGAGCCTCCACCCAGAGCCTCCACCCGCATGGGGAGCCCATCCCAGCGGAAGGCCCTGTCTCTTGTTTCCAGGGGTAGCCTGGTCAGGCCGTCTTCCTCCTCCGACTACCTCCAACAAGGCAAAGCTAGATGGCCAGGTGCTCTCAGGATCCTCTAGGGGACAGCCTGCTCCTGCTAGGGGGTGTGGGTGCCCCCCACCCCCACACACCTGCCCTGCTGATTCCCATGCAAACTCTGTGGTCACTCTGGGGAAGGCTGCTGGCCCACGATTCGACATTTATTGCCTGGGTTCTTGATGCCAACCTGACACAACAGCGGGGTCTTGGTGCCTGACTGGGTTGCTCGGTGACCACCACGTGCCCAGGAACCACCACCACCTGTGGGGTGAGGTCTGCAGAGATGGCCTCCCAGGCCCTCCCCAGGACAGACTCTGTCTTCCAAATTTTCCACACTGGAAATGCAGCCCTTCAGGGGCCTCTGCTTGGAGGATCGGGGCTGCCCCTCAGACTGGGCCTAGTGGGGACGGGAATTCCCACCCACCCCCGGCAAGTTAGCTCTGCTCAGGACCCACCCCAGGGCCAGGACCTTCTGGTCAGGACCCAGGCCTGCGGGCTTTCAGCGGAGGAGTGTACGGGCTGCCAAGTTTCGGGGCTGCGGCTTGAGGTGGAAGTGGGGCCAGGGAGTCCAGGTTTGGTTGGTCCCCAGAAGTCCCCTCCCGGCAGGCAGCTCCAGTCCCACCCCTGGCTTCTGGCCCACTGGCTATACAATGCCCGGTAATTGGCTGGCCCACGCCTTTCTGTAATTGGAGGGTAATATACGCCGAAATAAATTAAATGGCCGTTAACTAGTTTGTACATTACACAAAATGAGTTTAATTAAGTTTGTATCTGCCCCGCGGATCGATCGGAGCTTTCACTCCGCCGTGAACCCCGCGCGCGGCACCGGCCGGCCCGGCTCGGGCAGACGCCACGAAGGGGAAGCTTCGAGAGGAGGGAACGAGCGAGGGATGGAGAGCAGACGCGGGCGGACGGGCGGGCGCCGAGGGAAGAGGGAAGGAGAACGAAAGCGCTGGGCAGAAAAAGAGGAGGAGGGCAATAAGGCAGAGAAGCGACGACCCCGGAGGAGGGAACCTTTCCCGGGGCGGGACAGCCCGAGGGGACGAGCGCGCGGAAGGGAGGGCGCCGCGTCCTAACTGTCCTGTCCTCCCCGCCCCGCCCGCCCGCAGACGCCGGCGACCCCTGCAAGGCGGACGAGGCCGAGGTCAGCGGCTACAGCAGCGGCGGTGGCGGCCGCAGCCCGAGCGCGGACAGCGGGGACGAGGCGCCCGACGACGACGACGACGACGACGACGAGGCGCCCGACGCGGGGACTGCGCGCAGCGCGGAGGAGGCTCGGGGAGGCGGCGGCGGCCTCGCGGCCCGCGGGTCGGGCTGCCCGGGCGCGGCCGAGACCGAGGCGCCCCCCGGCGCGGTGGACGAGGCTGCAGCGCCTGGCCCCCGCGGGAACTCGCCCGGAGCCCCCGTCCCGCCTGGGGCCTCGGCGGCGACGCCGGGGGGCGCGGGCACGACCCCGCAGGGCGCGGCCGCGGCGACGAAGCCAAAGCGGAAGCGCACGGGCTCGGACTCCAAGTCCGGGAAGCCGCGGCGCGCGCGCACCGCCTTCACCTACGAGCAGCTCGTGGCGCTGGAGAACAAGTTCAAGGCGACGCGCTACCTGTCGGTGTGCGAGCGCCTCAACCTGGCGCTGTCGCTGAGCCTCACCGAGACGCAGGTGAAGATCTGGTTCCAGAACCGCCGCACCAAGTGGAAGAAGCAGAACCCTGGCGCCGACACGAGCGCGCCGACCGGCGGCGGCGGGGCCCCGGGGCCGGGCGCGGGGCCGGGCGCGGGGCTTCCCGGCGGCCTCAGCCCGCTTAGCCCGTCGCCGCCCATGGGCGCGCCGCTCGCCATGCATGGCCCCGCCGGGTACCCGGCGCACGGCCCCGGCGGCCTGGTGTGCGCCGCGCAGCTGCCCTTCCTGTCGAGCCCGGCGGTGCTGTCGCCCTTCGTGCTGGGCTCGCAGACCTACGGCGCGCCCGCCTTCTACGCGCCGCACCTCTGAGCGCGGCGGCGGACGGGGACCCGCGGGCGCCCGCCACCGGGCTTGTGCGGCCGCAGTCGTGGACTCGGTACACAGCCGGCTGCTACAGAAGAGTTTTACGTTTATTATGGACTGTACGCGTAGGGGCCGGGCTCGGCCCGCTCGGAAGCACTTTGCTGAACTTCGCTCAATCAATAAACCGCAGGAGGCTGCACCGCGTTCCTCAGGCTCCCGCCTGCCCGCGCGCGTCCGTGGGGACTTCGTCGCGTCGGAGGTGCCTCGGGCCGTTGGACCAGGCACTGCGTTCAGGTCCCGGTGTCCCCTGGCCAAACTCTGCCCTCCCGTAGCGCCCCCCCTCCACAACACCCTACACACAGACATACACGCACAGACACACACAGGGACACAGACACACAGGGACACAGACACACACACAGGGACACACAGACACACAGGGACGCACAAACACAGGGACACAAACACACAGGAACACACACACAGACACAGGCTTCGGGTTGGGTGACTAAGTATGTCCTCTGAGAGGCCCTGGTCCCCGCGTCTTCCTTCCCCCCACCCTGGGGCCCATGGCTTCAGGGACATCCCTTTCCTCCTCTGTGTTGCCTTAGGGGGCTCTTCGGGGTGGTGGACGCCCCGCCCGACGGAGCCGGGCGCAGGGTCTGGGCTGGGAGCAACACTGTCTTCTGGGTACCTACCGCAGGCCTGGCCGGGACGGCTCGGGTTGGGCACTTGCACCCCCAGGCCCGGCAGGGACCAACCAGCTCCTGTGGCTTCCCAGGGGAGGGAAGCTGGGGCTCCCCAAGCTCCAGCGACTTGCCCAAGGGCGCCCGAGCTGGACCGCAAGCCCGGCAGCAGGTAGCGCTCCAGGCCGGCGCATCGACTTGCGGGTCCCGCTCTGGGCGCGGGTCGCACACGGTTCCTGGAGCCCTGGGGACGCGGGGAAGGGAGATGCGGCGGCGCCTGAGTTGGCGGCTGCCCGCCGCGAGAGCCGAAGCTGCGGGGATGCAGGCACTGGGGCGCGGTGAGGAGGGGTCCCTGGGGCAGCACTGCCCGGACTTGGGAAGAACTCGGGAGGGGCAGCAGGGTGCCGGGCACGGTGACTGCTCTGCGCCGAGGCCTGCGCCGCAGAGGGAGCCGGCTGCGCTCGGGGATGCGTCTTCTCTAGGCGGCGTCCCCTCCGCGGGAGGAGCCGGCTGAGCTCTCAGAACTTGCTCCCGCGCCTAGTAGCCGCCCCACTTCGCACCCAGCCGCACCCACTTTGAGGAGGGCGGAGGCTGAGTTGGGGAGCGGAGGCCGCGGCAATGGTGGGTGGCAGCGACTCCCACACCTGCCAGGGCAGCAGCGGAGAGAGCGACCCCCTTGGCTTCACCATCACTAGTGGGTAAAGGGCCACCGAGGGGCAGTCCCCAGCCACTGGGGCTGGGGGTAGAAGTGGCTGGGACCACCTTGCCCACCGCTGGGGCTGGCCTCCTGCAGGCTGTTGCTCTGCTTCAGAACCCCATACACACCTGCCACCCCTTCTCTGCGCTCCACCTGCTCAGCACTGGCAGCAGGGAATTTTCTAAGTAACCGTGCTGCCTTGTCTGCCCAAGAGCAGGGTTCTCTGGATGGCAGAGCTCAGCAGACCCGATGTGTCTGTGCAATCCAACAGCAGAGGGTGGAGGGGGTGAGGACACCCCTTGTCTCACCACTGAGGCCTGTGCATCCAGGGTACAGGCAGCTGACAGAGGAGACCCAAAGCTCCAGAAAGTTCTAGATGGCTCTTGGCCTAAACTCAAATCATCAGCATTATTGTGCACTTAGCCTGGCTGGGCTTGAGGGCTGCCAAGCAAGAAGCCATAGCCTCCACCTCCTGGGCGCAGGGAGGACAACAGCAAAGGTGCAGGGGTTTTCCCAAAGTCCCCTTTGCTTGAGCTCAGTGGGGCCTGCTCCATCATAGCCCTGGAGGGAGAAGACGTGGTAGGCCGGGTATAGTCACCCTGCGAGTCCGCCCCGTGGCCCACAGTGCTCAGGCCTCCATGAGCCGGCACCCCCAGCCTGAGCTAGAGGCGGAGGTGAGTGGTGGTTTTCCTAGCCCCTCGTTGCTGTCCCCCCACCATGGGGGCCCCACTTTGGTGTTAGTGCTACGAAGGGCTGTCTCAGCTCCAAGATCTGGGTGCACTCTGGGATGGTCCCTCCTCAAGCTCTTAGGACCAGTCCTGGCTGCGTCAGCATCCACCCGCATCCCAGATTACTCCCCTTTCATCTCTGCCTCCTGTCAAGCAAGGCACAGGCCCTGCAGATGTGCACCTGGACAAATTCAGGCCTGTCCGAAGGCTGCGCTGTCTCCTGCCCGGGCACTGCTGAGCCCAGACAGAGGCAGAGCCCCCTCCCCATGAGGCCACTGCCCACACCACTCAGCCAGCCCACGGCTGGCACTCTGGTGGGTTGCTATTAGGATTGGTTTGGGCTGCATGAAAGAGAATATCCAAATGAACACAACTTGAGAGGAGATTATTCATTTTTTCTTGCGTGATGGAAATCTGGCCACTGGCAGCCCAGGCAGCGATGACACCTACACAGAGTTCTTGGAAATCCTCTTCCATCCCACTGTGTGCTACAGCATTCCTGGGCTGGGAGCTTATCCTCTGGGACCCAGATGAAGGGCAACGCTCTGGCCATCACATCCCCATTCCAGGCAGCAGATAGGAAGGAGAGGAGAGAAGGGGGTACACCCCTTTTCCTTTTAAGGTGCTTTCCCAGAAGCCCATGTAAAACAGCTGCTCATAACATTGGTCTGAGCTTGGTCACATGACCAATCCTCACCAAGGGAGGCTGTTGGGGAGTGTGGCCCCCAGACTCTCACTCCCCATCTCCAGGACTTGCTTCTGTCCTCGCTCTCCTGCCAGCACTTGCCCAGCTCTTGCCCTCATCCACATGGTCCCCTCCCCCACGTGGCAACAGAGGGTGCTTCTGTGGCTGTCTCTTCAGTCCCATAGTCCTCCGCTGGGCCAGTCACTGCCTCTGCCCTCCTGCTCCTCTTCCCTTACCTGCAGAGTCACTTCTGACCGCTCGCTCCCTGCTCCCAGCAAGCCAGCCTTATCGGTGACATCCACTAACCCCCAAAGTGGTACCCAGGACCCAATGTGGGGTCCCCAGGTCTCTGCCCTGGGCCACTTGAGGTTCACATGGCTCTGAAGTGTCACTCAGCTCAGAGGGACCTTCCTAGGCTAATCAAGGGAAGGGGTGAAGCTTCCTGAAGGGGGTGACATTTCTATGGGGAGGGTAAGTCTGGACATAGAGCCAGGGGCACCCAGGACAGCAGGTGGTAACAGCTGGGGAGGAAGTGGAGGTCAAATAGGTCATTCTCAGGGGTCTGTAGTCTGTAGGGACTGTCACATGTAGACACTGTTGCATACAGGTCTATGGGGAAAGGAGGTTCTCTTCCATCCCAGGGCTCCATCCCCCATAGGCAGGTGACAACTCCAGGATGCCACGTCCCACTCCATCCTGTGTGATGGCCCTTTCAGAGCAGCCAGCTGATGGCTGATCTCTTCACCCTCTTGCCTGGACACAGGAATTGCTGGTAGCTGGATGCCTATCCCCAGCATAAAGGACTGCGTTTTCTGCTTGCTGGGCAGCTGGACACTGCCAGGTGACTAAGACTGGTGGAAGCAGCAGGGCACCTGAAAAGGTTCTCCACAGGAAACGGAGGTACACCCCTCCGCTCCTTCTGTCCCCATACCCTGGGATGGCTGGAGCCCCAGCAGCCAACTTGGGCCAAGAGGTAGCCTTAGGGATGGAGGCCTATGCACTGATGCCACCAAGCAAAATGCCCCAGTGGCACCGTGGTGTCTTCTCACCAGCTTGGGGCACCCCACCTAAAGGCTTTTCATGACAGAAGCACACATAAATCCTGTGTTGGAGTCAGCTAATTCTGTGACACCCTGTTTCTGTAATGGTCCGTCCAACCCCAGTGCTGAGGCCATGACTCTGCAGTGATGCTCCCTGTGCCCTGCCGTTCCTCCCTCCTATAGTCTGCTCTGGATGGGGACAGCAGGGCCCCTCCCCCATGCTCCACCTGCGCCCCGTGCTGTTAAGTTTCACAAAACGCCCTCTTCCATCACACCTCTTGTTGCCTCAAAGTGAACAGAAAGAAGTCTCTGACGTGAAAACATAGCACAAAGCTACAGTAACCTCAACAGTGTGGTAACACACACAGAGGCAAGTTGATGGGGGGGGGGGGAGAGAAAGCTCCTGCGCAGAACCGCTGTCTGTGGGTATCACATGAGACGGCAAGGCTCCACATCAGCTCAAGAAACACTGATTTGTCATGAAGTGGACGACACAGCTGAGCAGCTGTCTGAAATAGAAAACTGGATTTCCTGGTCACGTTTTATATGAGAGTAAGTGATAAACAAATCAGTGATTTAATGTGGAAATGAAACATGTAGAAGTACCAGAGGAAACACAGCCAAAAAAAATTATATTTTTACTTGATTTTTAAAAAATAAATTTTAAAGAATTTATTTATTTATTTGACAGAGAGAGAGAGAATCACAAGTAGGCAGAGATGGAGGCAGGGGGAGAGGGGGAAGCAGACCTCCTGCTGAGCAGATGCAGGGCTTGATACCAGGACCCTAAGATCATGACCTGAGCTGAAGGCAGAGGCTTAACCCACTGAGCCACCCAGATGCCCCCAGAAAAAGTTTTTAATAGAATCTTTGAGGGGGGAAGGGACACAGATACACGAACTTCCACGTAGCAAAATATTAGCAAAGTCAGCAGATGGGAAATATTTGCAACTTGTCAGAGCTCATTTTTTTAAAAGATTTCATTTATTTATTTGACACACAGAGAGAGATATCACAAGTAGGCAGAGAGGCAGGCAGAGGGGGAGAGGGAAGCAGGCTCCCTGCCAAGCAGAGAGCCCGATGAGGGGCTCAATCCCAGGAACCTGGGATCATGACCTGAGCTGACGGCAGAGACTTAACCCACTGAGCCACCCAGATGCCTCCAGAGCT